TTTGACAGAAAAATTCAACTTGTTCAGGTTGAATGGAAAATGTTAGAATGCAGCCATCTGCGTCTAACATTGTGTGACTTGAAAGATAAGAAATTGTTTTCTTCTTGACATCAAATGAGCAAATTAAATATAAAATATTAATTGTGTAATGACATTCAGGATCAACTTCAGTAGCAAATACTGAAGCATTCTTTTGTTGTCTAAAGTTTTACAGTGAGTATTCATACCTTCTTAAATTCACCTCACTTCATAGCATGATCATAGCCATAAACTTCTCTGCATTTTATTGATGTTTTGCATAATTAACAAAGTAGTGTTAAAGTAAAAAAAAATAAAAAATACACGATTTCATTTCTTTTCCTAAATGAAATGTCTGACGTCTTGATTTACATTTAAAATGTAAATTTTAAAAAGCTCAGTTGGATTGGAAGAAGAATGTAAACAATATTTTTTCTAATTTTGCCACAGGTTATTAATAGGATTTAGGTCTGAGCGTTAATTGGGTTCTCCTAATGTGTTTTGATCTAAACCATTCAAATGTAGTTCTGCTCTATGTACATTTTCTTTGTTCATCTTTGGAAGATGAACATCTATCTCTGTCTTTTTGTAGCTTCTGATAGATTTTCTTCAGATTTGACCTGTGTTTACTTCAATCCTTCAATTGACTCTGGTCAACCTACAGTGCCTTGCAAAAGTATGGCAAGGCACCGTGTTTCTGAAAAGTGCATGTTTTTCACAATGATCTATTTCTGTTTCAATACATTGACTGTCAACTTTACATAACTACTATATTATTACTCACAATTACCAGAAATGGTGAAATATAATCCTGTTTCTTCTCCATGTTGCAAACCAAAGTAGAGATGACTGATTTGGAACATGCATGTCAATTAATGTCACTGTGAATATGAAATAAAAGCATTTCCCTCAATGTGACAGAAAACTGGAAATAGAGTGGCCTTGGAATTTATCTAAAAAATATTGCTGATTTGATGCTGTCTCTTTCTTCTTTTTTCTGATGTTTATTTTATTACAAAGATTGCCTATCAAGGCCAACGGCAAAGGAAATTTGCAAGATTTAATTTTCTTTTTCTAATATAAATAAAAAACATGTTGAAATTGCATCTAGAGCAGTAAAGAACCCATATTCATATCTAACTAGAGACATCATTCACCACATGTAGTTTCTTCCTGGTGTAAAATGTGTTATTTTCTCAACATTCTTTAGCTTTGTAATTCAATTCTGCATAGCTGTCCACTCCGGTAAAACTTAATTAAATGAGAATATAGACAGTGAACCATATTTTAACAGAAAAAAAAAAAAACATCTTTTAGGCACTTGAAAAGGAGGTGAGTTTAAGTCTTCTAGCTCCATCACAGCATGAAACCTTTTCACGCTCCTGTGCAGGAGGGTTTCATGCCTTTTAATATTAAGGCTTTTTAGTTCGAGGGTAATCTCATCTGACATTACAGCTCTCAGAATTAACTGGGTAAAGTACATCCCAAGACATCGCAGAGACAGTGGCAGACAGAGATCACATATTTTCTTTTAGGGTTTCTCAGGGAGGCCGTGATCCTTGGAATTTGTCATACAGAAGCAATCATCTCAAATTGGTCTGAGAAGAAAAGGCAAAGAAAACAAACCTTTGTGCTGAATTTTTCTCAGTAAAACCTCTAAAAGGAATGTGGAGAGTGTTTTTTTTTTTTTTTCCCCTGCATTGAGAACTATTTCAAAGACATCTTCTGTGTATTGTCAGCACACGTGAGAGGTCTTTCATCCCTCTAAATGGCTGGAGGAATGAGGCGCTCTGTAGCCTGCTGCTTCAGATTCCTATTGTTTGTGCACAGCCTCTCGCCCCCACTGAGAGGTCACGAAAAAAGGAACATATACACGCGAGCAAACTTCAACATAGGCATGCACTAAGATTTGTGTGTCAGTTTGCAGGGCACTCAGTACCATGGATGAAAGCCAAGGTTGCAATATGCAGTGGGGTTGGAATCGGAGCGATGTAAACGTGTGCAGTTCTGAACGTGCAGCCGATAAACGAAGCTTAAAGTTGGCCTGAAGGCCTTTCGAGAGGGGGATACATGACCTCTGATTATATTAGCAGTCTCCTCACCTCAGCATGTTGTGGATGTGTCTGCCAGGCTGGAAAGTACTGAACTTTTCACCTCTTCTGTGTGTTTTAGCACCATGTCAGCAAACCATGTTAGAGGTTTATTCTGTTAAAAAAAAAAAAAAAAAAAAGCTGAAGCGAACGGGTGTTGACTCCGTAGATGGATGAAATCATCTTTGCTCTTAATTATGGATGTGACAGAGCAGCACCACCCTGTTTGCACTGGGATTACTGAACAACAGTTCTGCCCGGCATCACTTATGATGAAGATGCAGTGCTGGCATAAATTCTTTCATTTAGAGAAATAGCTTGTAAAACAAATAGATGTGAAATTGATGCTGTAGCTAAAGGACATATCTGGATTTAGTTGAATACTTCATATAATTAAACCACCAAAAGTATTTACAAAAAAATTTGCCCTTACTGTAATATGTTGCCACACCACTACAATCTCTGTTCTTCATCATAGTAAAATAAAACATCAACAAAAAGTTAATTTATTTTTCTAATTCAGTTGAAAATGTGAAGCTTAAATATGTAAACCATTGAAGGTCATTGCCAACGAAGCTGGTTTTTCAGAGTGCTGGATCCAAACATGTTAATGGAGGTTTGAGTGGATGGAAAACGTATGGTTGAAAAATGTGAATAAGTTTCATGATTGGCCAGCAAACTCATTTGGCAAACGATGAAGCATTGCCAAAAAGAGGATGAGAAACATTAAAGCTGTGTGTTTTATTCTGGGAAGTCTTTATAGATTTCAGATTCATCATGCTCTGTACTGATTCATGGTTTCTTATGCCTTATACAGTAAAGAAGAACCAAAGCAGAGCTTCATCAAATTACTGCCTTCCCTTTTTTGTGTTTTTTTTCTGTCATTAGTGGTATGTTCTTGGATCTTTGTGGTGCAAAGATTCTTTTGATGTTGGAGTTCAGTTTGAATAGTTTCCTTGGCTTTATTTCTACCATCTACACAATTAGTCTGACCACCTGGGGTTGGGCATTTTCTGTCGCATCGACTTTCTCAAAGCTTCCCCATAAACCTTGTACTTTTTGGTAAATTGGCAGATGTGGTCTCATGAAAATTAGACTCCCTCATAGTCTCTCTTTAAGACAAATATACCAAGTATGTTCTTCTCTCTAAGCTTCTTAGGTAGCTCTTGCATTTCTGGTTCTGGTTGATGTTCAGCGAGGTGCACGCAACAATGCCAAGCTTCCCAGTTTAATATTTCTTTTTCTATTAGAAGGCTGATTAGCTCATACAAACCTTGAAGGAACTTTTGATACTAAATCATTTTAAATGCTTACTTTGCAACATAAGAAAATTGCAAGAAAATTGCCATATTATGTCCTTCTGAGATAAACAAAACAGTTTTATTTGTTTACTCCATTTTATTTTAAAGACATACTGATATAAATTAGATTGTTGCATTTTTTAGGAGGAATTATGTTTTAATGAACTGTAAGGGTGCTAAAAAATGGTCTCTTTCAGTACCTGCAAGAATAGGCATTGTTTGCCTTTATACAAAAGCATTAAAAACATCATCCTGCCTCCACTTCTTATATTCCCTTTATTGGTGCTTTCTTTTGATTTCCATTCAGTAACAAACCCCTGAGTGTAGGTGGTTAGATTAGATGCACAAAGCGCCATCCTTCCTGCCTACTCTTTTGAAGTGGCAGGTATTGAGTTCCTTTATTAGCCTAGCAGAGGAAGAAAGAAAAACACCATTTACTCTGCAACTATTTTCTTAGATACACTGATTTGTTGGCATGCTTGAATCTCTCAGATGATTATAAAAAGAAAACAAGACACTGCTCAACAGGACTCAATAGTATAGGATCATATGTTCTCTTTTAATGACTGGGTAAACTGCAAACCAAAACTAATTAGAGGACTTTCCCTTCTTTCTAATTTCATTATAGTTATCCCCCTGGGTCACATATTCTGTTCTCTTAATTTCATTGGTAGTTGGAACATGATGTTTATTGCAGATTCTGTCTGTGAAACTGTCAAAATAAAAGTGGCTGGAGCAATGTACATGTCAGTAATATTTCCAAAGAGAATGGAGACCAACACTGGGCTGGTAATACACGAGGAACTGCTGAGTTATTTTTTAACCCAGATATTGAGTTGATACTGTTGGGAAGGAAGCTTGGTACTTTTAAATTAAATAAAAAATTTACTACTTTCTTAAATGGAATAGAAAAGAACTTAGAAGTTTGTCATTTTTAATCATTTGAAAAAGGATCACATGTCTACATGTTAGTGTACTTAACCACTCTAACATCTATTAGTGGTGTTAATTAATTAGATTTGAACAATGATGTGCTTAAGCTCTTATTTGGAGAAATATCAGCAATACAAAATTGCTGTGTCCGCTTATATTGTTTTATTTGTTTGTAAACAAATGCTAAAATTTCAAGACTTAACTTTGCTTAAGAAAGTAATTTTGTTGATATTTTTAGTAAAGCTATCTTACATTTGTTTTTTTAACATAATTTCAGTTGTATATGTTTAATAATATTTAATAATACAGATTAATTAAGAATTTTATGAAGAAAAACATATAAGTAGTCAGACAGTGTTATATTGACTGTGAGCTTTTCAAATACAGTTGTTTGTAAATAAAATTCAAATTAGTTTATTTCTTTTTATCTAATGAAAAATCAAACTAAATAAATCATACATTTCAATTCAAATATCACTTGCTCAGTAAACCAAGTTATCCTTTTTAACCTTTTTTTGTTAGTCTCACTTCAACCTGGTTTATGTTGAAGCTTATTATTATTATCAACTAATAAGCTTTGACAATTCGCTTATTATCAAAGCTTCACTTGGGTTGGATATATGTTAATTGTTTTATTTTTTAATTATTTGTTTTCTAGGTGGAAACAAGCTGAAAGGACAGCAATTCCGCTTGGACTGGGCCTGGATTTCCATGGAGAAAGAGTATTATGTGGTGGACGAGGAAGACAAATTCTTGGAGGTGGTGCTCCAACGAAGAGGATATCTGGGAGAGACGTCATTCATTGGTCAGTCTGTTTGCCTTTATGCCTCCTTTGCTTTATGTCAACCTTCATCTCTCTGAACTGAGATTTATTGTCTCTGGATTTAGCCACAATAAACAATGATTGATGCAGGGTGTATAATATCAGACTAGGCTCTAGGCAGCAGTGTCACAATAACTGTCAGATGAATTGCTGTAACCTCTTGGGGAGATATTTATTGCTCCTGCATGAATAACACAAACACCTCCCCTGACTTTTCCCCAAGTGCTGTTATCAAACTAAAAATCTTGGTTTTGTGACTTGGAAGTAAGAGGAGATAATTATTAAAACTTATACTCAAGTAGGCAATCCAACATCATTGTTATAATTTGAACTCAATACATTTTAGTCTGTTTTTCAAGCTTTTAATCTTCCAGTTTGTCAATGTCACAGATGTTGTCACTTTACAATTACTAGTGTCATTGTATGACATCAAAGATACATGTTTTTTTGTCTTTTTTTTAACAAATTAAAACCTAAAAGCATGGAGTCCATTTGCATTCAGCCTTCAGAGGTTAAAATCCATCTGTATGTAATATCAGTGTATAGATACAGCTGTTCTATGAAGACTTTAAAGGTTTGTTAGCGAACCTTAGAGAACAAACACAATCAAGAAGAGCAAAGAACACAGAAAGTATTGATAGCAAGGGGGCCGACCATAGAAGTGGTTAATTTGTGTAAGAGGAAAAAGTGTTCCTTAATGCGGAATAATTTTGTTTAAAATTATTCTGCCGCAATAATACCTCTGTAAGGCTTTAACAGAGGTGCCAGTAGTTCTGGCTGGTCCTTTATTTATTTACTTGAGTTTTCCTCTTTGTTATTGCAATGAGATTGGGGAGCTGACCTTGTAAACATGCAGAATAGAAGCCGCAGAAATGATGGGTATTAGTATTTTTTTTCTACATGAAAACTTGAGAAAACTTTCCTAACACATGCATACATGTTAGTAAGCTGCTGTTACATTTTTCTACTAATTAAACTTGCCTCTTCTCTTAAACACACCCTGTGAATTTCCACAGCAAATTACATTTTGCAATGAGATTAACAATTTTCATGCATCATTTTCGGTAATTCAGTGGTTTAGGTGGAAATTGCACAAGACTTTAATTAGACAGTTCCTATTAGTTTAGTACAAACATTGTGATTTGATTTGACTGATGAAGGTTTAATTAGGCTAAATTTACATAATTTTCATTTGGAAGTTTCAGTAATTAAAATGTGGTCAAGGTAATTTTAGGCTTTTCTCACTCCTTGGCAATATTTTATTCATTTTTCTTGAAAAAGGGAAAAAGTCATTTTCCTGGGGGATATTATAATTTTCTTTCAAGTAAATATAACATAATAAGTTTAACTTTAATCTTATGTTTAGTTTATCAATATATGCATCATATATACAATTTACAACTTATATCTCTTTCATTTACAGGTAAGAATTCAGGATATACTTTATAAACTAAGCAAAAGGGATCGTCGATTAAATATACAAACAAATAAAACATTGCATTTTTGGAGTTAAAGGTGTAACGCAAAAACGTGTGTTCTGAATCTTACCACCACGGATCAATGTTTAGGCCTCCAGTGAATAGCATACAGTGAATGCTTCAGTTGATCTTAGAAATATAATTCTTTTTCCCAGGATATATTTTTGGTTTTAAATATTTCACCCAGTCTTGGAAAATAGGTCATGCAGAAGAACCCATAAAACAAAGGAGTATCACGTGAAAGCCAACCTGTAATAAGAGCATACCTCAAAAATAACAGTATATTTTTTCATCAATCTGAAATATTCTAGAGGTTTCCCTGCAGAACATGCCTGCCGAATATATACCCACACATGCATGTATGTCTCTCTGTCTCTCTTTATATAGCTGAGTTGTACCCAACTACTACTGCTTCAATGCCAATCTAATACTAAGCTTTCTGAGTGGCAGAGCTTGGTGATTTGGTGTTAAAAGGAACAGCACAGCATGTTTTTGTGCTTATGTCAGAGTGTTTGTGCAAGTTCGAAGGTTTAAGGGATGATGACGATGCTGTCTCTGAGCACCTCCCTTAGCCTTGACTTCATCATGGTTCAGCTGGTTTGCTTATGAACAAGTAGCACTTGTAAGCAACTTTTACTCTGCCGCCTCTCATCGTCATTCTGGTCTTTGTAAATCCCGGAGTCCCTTTTAAATATACCTGTGTGTCAGGTTGTACAATAATATGTATCGACTTGTGTAGATATACTCGTGAGAATTCACACTACTTGGGACGGTTTGAAGTCTGTCCCTTAAGTACAAATGAGAAACCATGTTCTGATGCTCTATCTTTGCACAGTTAAAACACCTGGTTATCTCTGAACACCCATAGATGGTACACTCACTCACACACACTCATCCTATTTCAAGGCAGTGTTTTAAAAGCAGCGTCTAGGTAACATGGCTTTCTGACGAACTGCTGAAACACTTCAAATTGAAACCACTTTCATCTAGGCTGATGTAGCTCCCAGAAATTCAGCAGAGGCATAAGTCCATGGCTGGGGTGAAAATTAACTGAAGTAATTCTTGTTCTGGTTTTAGAAAATTATTACATTTTACTTCATAGCCCAAAGTCTTTTCATTTGTGAAAGTGGGGAAACACTGTAGCTCAGATTAAAAAAAAATAATAATAAAAGGAAAGAAAAAGGTTACTGATATTTAATAGAAATAACAGTGAAATGCAAATTAAAACACTGCATTATACCCACAGGAAAATTTAAAAATGCCAATGGTTTTTGAAAGAGGTGTATAATGTAGCATATTGAATGAATCTTAAGGTTGTCATACATATAAAAAAAAATTCCCTTCTCACCCTCCGCGGGTGGTCGTCTCTCTTTTCATCCTCTGAGCTCGGGTCCTCTACCAGAGGCCTGGGAGCTTGAGGGTTCTG